TTGTTGCAGATGCGTTATCAAGAATAACCATCAAAGAATTAAAAAGTACTAATACAAGACAACAAAGTAGACAAAATAAATCCTGCGCAGGAAAAGAACAAGAAATTTTGCCAATACGAAATCTTGATAAATCTTCTAAACCCAACGTATACGACGTCATTAAAAACGACGGTATGCGAAAAATAGTGACCTTGCACATAACAAATCCGGTATATATTTTAAAACATGGTAATAAGGTTGTTGCATAAATTGAGACTAGCGTCCTTTATACTAACGGAACTATCGATTTAGGTCAATTGTTCCAAAGGCTTGAAGAAGAAGCCGGTATATTAGGAATCAGCCAACTCAAAGTGGTACCCAGCGAAAATAATCTTAAAAACACTTCAATCTTAAAAACACCTTCAAAAATATGGGCAATATATATTTGAAGAACTTAAGATTAGCACTACTCAAGCCGGTAACCCAAATAAATAAAGAAACAGAAAAAGAAGCAAAAATGTCTACATTCCATGATGATCCTATTCAAGGTGGTCACGAAATGTCAAAAAGCTAAAACAACAAAGTACACTAAGATGCCTATGATTATAACTGAAATACAAACAAACGCTTTCGACAGGGTAATTTTTGACACTATAGCTCCATTACCAAGATCAGAGAAGGGTAACGAGTTGCCTAGTTGCCATTCCGATCTCAAATAAAAATGCAAACACTGTCGCTAAAGCTATATTTGTATCTTTTATTCTTAAGTACGGTTCAATAAATACGTTCAATACAGACATGCCGGGATATCATTGTTATGGGTCGGACATTCTGTGACAGAAGTCGAATGGTTTTGTATAGTCCGGGTACATCAGTATGATGTCTGGAACACGTTGCGCTGAGTATCGTTGTTCAATATAGGGACCTTTCTAGACTTGTACTTGCTTATGGAACTGTTTTCTCCTTTTAGGATGTCAGAGATTGGTTTCGCTATTGCTGCGAAATCTTAGATAAAACAGCGGTAATAGCTTGCCAATTCCAAAAAGGATCTTACTTCAAACACCGTAGTCAGCTCACCGTATTCCCGAATGGCTTTTACCGTTTCTGGATCTGATTTTGCACCATCCTTAGTCACTATAAAGACAAGATACTCAACACTTTCTTTCTCGTGCGCCACACGCATGTGTGCGTTTAAAAGGCTCCCTAATACCCAGTCGACATGCCTGACATGGTCAGACTCGTTTATTATGTAATTATTATGTTATCTACATAAATGTAGAAAGATTTTCCAATTTGCTCCCGCATCTAAGGTCCTCCGAAAAATGCTCGCTGCACTCTTCAAGCCAAAGGAAAGTCGACAAAACTCGTACTTTCGCCCATTAATCGAAAAGGCCGTCTTCTCCCGGTCTTGCTCTGCCAGAGTAATCTGGTGATAACCTGATTTCAGGGCGAACGTCGTGAAGAATTTGGCCTTACCAAGATTAGCCAGTATCATTGCGATGCTTGGCATTGGGTATTTGTCGGCAACAGTCCTGGGGTTGAGTTTCCTAAAGTCTATCACCAGACGTTTATTTTGATTACCTAACTCATCTGTGAGCCTTAAGAATTTGAAAAGTTGGGTTGTCTAAGCCTGCAAGAAGAAGGGTCGGCGTCAGGTCTCTGCGAAGCTCTATCTGTGGATTGGCCGTTATGCTTCTTGAAATGAGGATGCTTGCCCTGGCTACCCTAATATAATTGGTTTTTAACTTGTTGCTGTTGTGGCTGTCGCCCTTGTGGGCGCTGCTCTGGACAAACTCGCTCTTCTTGTCCCCTAGTAAAGCTTGTCGCGAAGGTATATCTCTCGTGATTAGCCTAGACCTCCTGGGCTAACGCTAGTGCCGCCGGCAGATCCGAAAGTTGGGCCGAAAACAACACATCGGTTATACTGCGTTTTATTCCAGAGATGAATACGCGAAGTGCATTACCCCTGAATTCTTCAGACATGCCCGCCGCCAAATTGCTGTCATTCTCAACCTCGTCGTAGTACTGTAGAATGGACATGCCCCTATGCCTAAGCGTACCCATTTCCTCTTTAATCACATGGCCGCTTGTCACTATAAGTTAGGTCTATACCATAAGTATAGGTCGCTATGATGGCCTCAGAATTTAACCGCGTCTGCCGGGCCTCTCACCTTACTCCTAATGATTGCGGTGGGTTGGTAGTGACGTGAGCTTCCGTTGTATTTTTTGAATTTTATATAGGCGGCATGCGCGGCCTTCTCCAGGACACGTAAGTGTCTTAAATCCCATGGAAATCAGTAAGAAATTTTAACACGTCGAGCGGCTCGTTACATTTCACCCCGTCTATGATTTCAACTTCCTTATAAGCCTTCACTTCTGGAACTGAGAGTTGTGTGTTTCTTAAATTGTTTGACAGCTGCGCAATCTGTTATTGAAGCTCCCGCCTTAGCGCTACTTCCCTATTCACGAATTCTTGCACTTGTGCTCGAGCGCGCTCTACACTGCGGCAACAATAATCATGCGCAACTGCTCAGGATCCATGGCTTTATCTGTGTTTTGTATCTGGTTCAGTTGGAACACCACACCTTGATATCTGTAATGTATCAAATCCTCCTATTAAATGCGCAAGAACACTACCGTCGCTGTCGTAATGTCCCTGATCGCGTACGTCGGAGTCACAGTCACTCATTCGCACCTAAACAAAATTCCAAGCAACACCGCTGACAGAGTGATTTAAGATTGTTCTAATTGATGTACAATTCCTAAAATAGGCTTCCCTTTACTTACTTTCGCGGCATATAAAGTTTAACGAAACTGCTGTTGTCTATCAAAGCGTTATTTATTATATATTTCTTTAAATTTTGTATTCTAAAAACTCTGTTATTTTCTCTGTTATTATTTTTCATGCAGCGAACTAGTGCATCGGCTTGAAATTATATGCAATATGTTTATTCTCACGTCACAAGTCACTTACATAATTCTGTTGATAATATGGTTAATCGAATAATCTACGATGAACTCCCTCGCTGCTGTCACAGAAGTATTCTTCGTTGAGCGTCGTATTTGTGTGGCTTTATTTTTGTGGGTAGCTCCTCTTTTAGGTTTTTAATATTTATTTTTGTTGCCACAAATTATTGACTTTCGCGTTTCTTAATTGTTAAATATGGTTTTTTGTTGCCGCTAATTTTTGACTTTCTCGTTTTTAATTATTAGAAATTGTTTCCTGTTGCCGCGAATTTTTGACTTTCGGGATTTTTATACCCTGAAAGCATTAAAAATGGGTATAAGGGTATATTGTAATTGTACAAAATCCAAATGTATGTAACAGACAGAAGGAATCATCTCCGACCCCATGAAGTATATATATTCTTGGTCAGCATCAATAGCCGAGTCGATCTAGCCATGTCCGTCTGTCTGACTGTCCGTCCGTCCGTCCGTCCGTCCGCCCGTATGTATGAACGCAAGGATCTCAGAACCTATTAGAGCTAGTGACTTGAAAAAGGAGCTATATGTCAAGTTTTGTGACTCTAGCTCATATTATTTACCAACATTTCCCAAAAAACAGGATATCGATATCGATTTTTACCGATTGCTTGAAAACGGAGTAAGCTATCGATTGTCGGAAACAAACTCGATCTGCGCAGGCACTAGGAGCACCTACATCTAAAATTTCTTTCTAGCTCTTATAGGTTCTGAGATCCTTGCGTTCATATATACGGACAGACGGACGGACGGACAGACCGGCAGACGGACAGACAGACAGACGGGCATGGCTAGATCGACTCGGCTATTAATGATGATCAAGAATATATATACTTTATGGGGTCGGCGATGCTTCCTTCTGCCTGTTACATACATTTGGATTTTGCACAAATACAATATACACTTATACCCATTTTTAATGGGTTCAGGCTATAAAAATTATCCCAGCTGGTGGTTTCTACGCTGGGCACTTTTATTAGTGCATTTACAAATGCAGTTTATGTTTTGATTATTTGCATTAATAAATGCAGTTGAATTAACTAAGAGCAGTGATTTTAGGAGCGGTACGCTTCGCTTAATTCATGTCCAAACTTAGACTGATAAAATACAATTGTTGTTATAATAAGCAAAGCTAGCCTACGTCGCCGTCGCTGCCACGGCGACGCCATCACCGCCCCCAAAAGTGCAGCGTTAGCGACTCGTGTGTGGTGTCGGATGACCGTCGCGGCCGCCAACATAGTTGCGACATATCCGTCGTGAACATGACTCTGGTCATTGGCTTTCCCAGAACGCTGGGTCAGCGAATACCAATAGTCAATGGTTAACTTATACTTAATGGAGTCGAAGTTGCCTTCTTCTGCCTGTTACAAACATTTGCATATTGCACAAATACAATATACCCTTTTTACCCATTTTCAATTGGTTCAGGGTATAAAAACGAAAGAGTGTACAAAACAAGTAAGAGGTTCTAGTTGGGAACTCCCGACTAGGGGATACCCTGAACCCTCTTTTTCCAACATCAAATGCATATATATTCTATTTTAGAAGCTATATGTCAAGTTTGGTGACTCTAGCTCTTATTATTTACCAAAATTTCCCAAAAAACAGGGTATCGACATCGATTTTTATCGATTGCTTGGAAACGGAGTAAGTTATCGATTATCGGAAATAAACTCGATCTGCGCGGGCACTAGGAGCACCTACATCTAAAATTTCAAGCTCTAGCTCTAGCTCTTATAGGTTCTGAGATCCTTGCGTTCATACATACGGACGGACAGACAGACGGAAATGGCTAGATCGACTCGGCCATTGATGCTGATCAAGAATATATATACTTTATGGGGTCGGAGATGCTTCCTTCTACCTGATACATTCATTTGCATTTCGCACAAATACAATATACCCGTATACCCATTTTTAATGGGTCCAGGGTATAAAAATTGAGGGTTTATTTCGAAAGATATCGATTGTTTTATAATGTGGCTGCTTTTTTTTTGTTTAAAGCCCCGTAGTAAAAGTTTATTTATTTTTTTACTTACTCTAAACTATTCATGGCAAAGCGATAGTTCTCTGATTCGATGTTATGATAAACATATTTATTTTCCATTCCCGGTCGTAACAAGTCATCAATATCCCGTTCCAATTCACTTGTATTAGAACGATAGGCAGTAGATTCTTTAGGTTCACTTCCTGACTCTTCCCTTAAAAAGCTACAATTTAATCAGGCATTAAGGTGAAAGGTAAAATAAACATACCTGAGTCGCTTTAAAATATCTGTTGGTCGTTCTTTGCTAAAAGTTTTGCTATCTTAAGAGTTTGTGTTAGTATATGTGCTAGAACTAAATATACATTTCACAAGAGACTTACTGGTTTGGTTTAGTTTTACCGGGTCCGTTTCTGATCTTGGTATATTCCAAATTCCTTGCTTTTTCAGCATATAGCGGTGCCAGAATAATACAACCAAGAGCAACAGATCATATACCGCTTTGCCATGCTTTGTAAATAGCTCAAAATCTGTTGTCTTGGCCAGTTTTATAAGCTTGGGGTCAAGAACGATTTTTTGATGCATTATGCACTTCAAAAAAATCATTGCCAACGTGTATGTGATAAGCGTAACCCAGAAATTCTTTGTTGGACGCGGTAATGTAAGGGCACCCCAGTAAAGGACCAGAAAAGGCATTGGCAACGAAATTATTGAAGAATTTGCAGCCTGGTTGACGAATACAGCCAAATAGCTGACCACTTCCGTATTGGCAATAATGGCATACCACAAAGAAATTAACATTTGTACAAAATTATTATGGTTAAGTGTCGTAAAGTCCTCGCTCTTTGATATCAAATCAGGCGTCGATTCTTTTGGTGGAGGATTAATGGCATCCAACTGTTTGCTATATTAAAGAAAGATTCAGACAGAAATAAATGGATTTTTAAGTTAAGCTATTTGCGGCGGAGCTACGTCAACACTGGTACTGTATTTGTAGTTATCATACAGATAAACAATATTCTATTGTCAAAACAAAGAGGAAACGAAATCGAATAAGACTGATGTGTATCCAAGTCAATGCAAACTCACTCGTAAAGGGATTGATTTAAAAAGCTGAACATCGCTGCAGTATTGACTAGTCCAAGCCGATTCATTGTACTAATGTCTTGTAACGTCTTTTTCTCTGCCGAGAGTACCTTGTGCACAAAACGATAGTTACGGGATAGCCGGTTTAACCGAAACGTCACTAACATAATAAGTTCAGCAGTTAGTTTAATTATTGGATGCGTTTCGAAGTCAATTTCAGAATCCGAACTATAGTCGTTTATATTACCGCTACTGCCGTTCCGTGACGTTCCGTGATCCAATTTTTTTTTAGACTGTGAATAAAAACAGTAGCGCTTAGATTTTATTAAAAACACTCAGATTTTACATAAATAAGCATTTGACGTGTATCCTCTTTTTCCAGAAAGTCATGCTCTTCATACAAAATAGGTTCATCAATATCATTATATTCCTCAAACATATAGTAGTCTCCTGTACGCACAGCATGCGGGTGCAGACGTAAGTCTCGCCTTTTCGGTGGTGATGGGTGTGTTAAGCTTATAGATTTTGATTTCATAGTTTTTATTGGCTTTTGAGATGATATGCTAATATTTTCGTCCTGCGAACTTATATGCTCACTCGAATCGAATTCCGAATGCTGTCTAGTTGCATTTGCCTCTAAAAATAAATATATTAGTAAATATTTTTTGACAATCACACTTACTTTTGTAATTTTCTCTGTTGCTAGCTCTTATTAATTCCATCTTTGCCTTTACACGTTCCAGCACGTTCTTCTCGCACTCTCTTCGATCATAAATTTGCTTATAGTGCAAATTCTCAATAATACCAGCACCACTGAGGAAAAACGTTTGTTATAATTGTTAAACAATACCAACAGGTAACATCTATAAAGCGAAGGACACTTATAAAAGAGACGCTTTATGCTTTTCTTCACCTATTTTTAGAATCATTCATATAGTAAAATTAGTAAATATTTTGGCAAGCATCCGACAAAATAAATTTGTTCGACGCTATGTCTTTAAATCTTGGAAGTGACGTATGCACAGTTTGTCAAGTAATTGTTTGCAAAATGAACAAGTAAGAGGTTCTAGTCGGGAGCTCCCGCCTAGGGGATACCCTGAACCCTCTTCTTCCAACATCAAATGCATATATATATATTCTATTTTAGAAGCTTAATTTTAAAATTAGTGACTAACTCTTATTATTTACCAAAATTTCCAAAAATAAACAGGATATCGATATCGATTTTTATCGATTGCTTGGAAACGGAGTTAGTTATCGATTACCGGAAACAAACTCGATCTGCGCAGGCACTAGGAGCACCTACATCTAAAATTTCAAGTATCTACCTCTTATAGGTTCTGAGATCCTTGCGTTCATACATACGGACAGACGGACGGACGGACGGACAGACAGACGGACATGGCTGGATTGACTCGGCTATTGATGCGGATCAAAATAATATATACTTTATGGGGTCGGATATGTTTCCTTCTGCCTGTTACATACATTTGGATTTTGCACAAATACAATATACTCTTATACCCATTTTTAATGGGTTCAGGGTATAAAAACAGCAAACAAATTCATTTTCAAACTTATATTTTACCGATTTAAATTATTTATCCTTAAATTTTTTTTGCACATAATTATCATTGTAAGTATTCTTCATGGATTCAAGGCACAAACCTAACAAAATTGTCCGTGTGCACAAACAGCAATTCGCAAAAAAAAGAACATTGCCAATATTTGGTCTTTTCTTAAAATTCTTCGACAAGCCGACGATAAAAGACCCTTGCAGGAATACGAACTCGCTTTTTCGACTTACGCAAAATAAGACCCCACAGTAAACAAAAAAATTAGAATATAATATATTAATATTTCATTTAGGCACCCGTAAGCACAGCCACTCGAGGCATTACGGCAGCACAAGTTTTTAATGAGGTGTATTTAGAAAATTTTATATTTTACGATGATTACTATAGGGTTTTGACAAATATTCGCACTTCACCTGCTCATAAGGCAGAGTATTATAATTTTGTCGTGCAATGTGTAACGCATAGAAGGAGACATTTCCGACCCCATAAAGTATATACATTCTTGATCAGCATCAATAGCCGAGTCGATCTAGCCATGTCCGTCTGTCTGTCCGTCCATCCGTATGTATGAACGCAAGGATCTCAGAACCTATAAGAGCTAGAGACTTGAAATTTTAGATGTAGGTGCTCCTAGTTCCCCTGCAGATCGATTATTTCCGATAATCAATAACTTGCTCCGTTCCCAAGCAAGCGATCAAAATCGATATCGATATCATGTTTTTTGGGCAATTTTGGTAAATAATAAGAGCTAGAGTCAACAATCTTGACATATAGCTTCTAAAATAAAAAATATATATGCATTTGATGTTGAAGGAAGAGGGTTCAGGCAAAGACAATATAAACACACAGTGTCTGTGGTTCAGGGTATCCCTTAGTCGGGAGCTCCCGACTAGAAAATCTTACTTGATTAATTTATCTTTATTACTAAAAACGAGCGCGTTGCGCGAACTGCATTTTGGCATTGAAATAAGAGGGTTCAGGGTAGTCGGCAGCTCACGACATGCATGCGTGCGCATGCGCACAGCCACAAAGCCCGCTTATTCCGAGGCAGACATCACTGCGTTTCATTGTTGACAGGAACTTAAGCTCATGCTACCTGTGCATACACTTCTCGAATCATTAACTGCACAGCCAACAGAAGAATTTACTAGATGCTTTTCTGTTAGTAGCTTAATAGCCCTGGATAGCACTACCTGCTGAGTTGTTTTTCTACTTCTGTTTTGTGACCATTACATGTGTGATCCAGAAACACAATTTTTTTTATATGTCTATTACAAACAGCACTCGAGATATGCCCACAATTTGTAACCGATGATGTTTTGTATGTTCCCTAGTTATGGATAACACGTATTCTTGTTCTTCAATAGCAAATAAGCACGTTATTCTTAAGAGTTGTATGCAAGATAGGTTAGCCATGTCGATGACATGGTAGGCAACGAGGCAGATTATATCATTCAGTCAGTCCTGGCCACGCTGCTGCGTTTGATTATTCCATTTTCTAAACTATGATAGAACAAACTGTGACTAGAATTGTGTCGTCCCTAAAAACATACGCAAGCGAGATCTGCTCCGGTCAGAAAGACACCATCTTCAAAGGCATCATCTTTGTTTACCTGAAAGACCGCCGACATTATGCAAAGGTGGAATATCCGATTTGATGGCTCCGCTGATGGCTTAGGTGTCGAAGAGTTCATCTATAAGTTTAAATCCATCATAGACGAGACCTAAGATAGCGATTTCACGCCAATGTGTAAGCACATGCACGTGTTGTTTAACGGCATGAGTCGCAACTGGTATTGGGGATACCATAAGCAAGTAGACCATATCGTTTGATCCGATATTTGTGCTTCGCTTCCGAGCTTATGAGCATTAAACTGATAAGACCCCGAAATATATTATATATTATTAGAATGTGACCTCGATGATAAATAAAGCTGCCGTTAAAATGACTGAAGAGGAGCTTATTGAATTTTTAAAAATGAACTTACTGACAGAAACGCGTCAGAAGTTATACCCTGTTCACTTTCTAGGGCATTTAAGTCGCCCTGTCAAGATGAACGATTATGCATGTACACCCTTGAACAAGATCAACAAGTTCAAGCCGAATGCAAAGCTCACTAGAATTACGATAAGAATGGGCATATCTGGGAAAATTGCTTAGCTATACGTCGTATTTTCTGTCACGGCTGCGGCTGCGGTAGTGACAGATTTTTTTTGCAAGCACAGTCGGAAAACCGTCGTGCGGGAGCATCCACCAACAACCGGCTGCCTCCGAAATCACCTGTTAATACACCACCTAAAACACTGCGTCTTCGGATATAAAGAAGGCCTGTGTGTATCGTCTCAGACGTGTTAGTTCGCCTGGCTAAGCACTCCGCAAAGCGAGTCCCACTTTAAGTGTGTCCAGAAGTCAGTTTTGTGTCATCCAGTCTAAACTATGTAGGATACGTTATTAGTAGCGGCGGTATTGCCACTGACCCGTCCACAATTTCGTGCGTTAGCTATTGGCATCCTGCAAAAAATTTAAAAGTTCGAGATTTCCTCGGAGCCGGATAGTACCGCCGGTTTATTCACAACTTCGCTGATCTCACGTGTCTTATCACGGATGTTTTACTACTAACTTAAGTTTGTGTGGACTCCCGAAGCTCAGGAAGCAATGAAGAGGCTCATGAAAACATTTTATTTGCGCAGTTTTAGTTTCTGAAGGCAGCGAAGATCAGCCAATTGATTTCATGACCAAAAAATTGAGATCTGCCTATCGTAAATATAGCGTTACGGAAGTTCTTAGCCGTTATACTCGCAATAGAAAAATTCATATATAACTTCGAACTTCAAGAGTTCGTAGTAATCACTGATCTTTCTAGCTTATTTTGGCTTATTCGGCAGCAGATTGTTCCCGGCCGACTCGCAATGAGGATTGTCCACCTGCAGCAATTTAAACAAGTAAGAGGTTCTAGTCGGGAGCCCCCGACTAGGGGATACCCTGAACCCTCTTCTTCGGACATGGCTAGATCGACTCGGTTATTGATGGCAGGCACTAGGAGCACGTACATCTAAAATTTTAAGTCTCTGGCTAATTTAGGTTCTGAGATCCTTGCGTTCGTATATACGGACGGACGGATAGACGGACAGACGCACAGACAGACGGATATGGCTAGATCGACGCGGCTATTGGTGCTGATCAAGAATATATATACTTTATGGGGTCGGAGATGCCACCTTCTGCTTGTTACATACATTTACATTTTGCACAAATACAATATACCCTTATACCCATTTATAATGGGTTTAGGGTATAAGAAATGTTTCTGTTTTTGAAGTCTATGTTTCTATTGAAGTCGGCCTTTTGCTCGGGCGAAGGAAGGACGAATGGAACGGCCTCACTGACTGATGAAGTGGGCGTGATCTCGCCTATGGCTGCCTCTTCGCTGTTGGAGCCCGGTGTTAGTGGCTCTTATTGCCGGTGGCAGCTTCGTCACACCGTCGTGATGGTGGCGCCGCTGACAAGTGCGCGGAATTCAGGCTCTGTGCGCTAACAAATGGTTAAGGTTACCTTAATAGACTTTCCTTTTGTTGTTTTAACATCGCTCGACTGCGCGTTTTATCACAAGTGTATGTGTATGTGTGGGAGGGATATTATTTGCTCGCGGCGAATTGGTTTGCAATATGTTTTGTTTTTAATAAGTTCGTCTTTTCAAAAAGTCCGTTCTGGATTAAATTAAAACCTTCATTTTATAAAAGCCGGACTGATGACTTGGGGCCGACATTGAAAAACCTCAACTCGCTTTTAACCACGGCACACCCGCCGTTGACTGCTAACAACGTCGAACTTCTGTATCTTCATTTGTTCAGCAACATCATAGGCGCCGAATTTCGGCACACGCGTGCATTTGGTTCTCATCTGCACATCTGCATTATTTTGGGTAAACGGCCCAAATGAAGGCCAAAGGCATGTCCAAGGGTATGGGCTCCACTCTCCCTTTATTTCTTTGGGGGCGAATCGAGCGGCCAATAGCGATCGCCCCTCCTGGCGCCGTGGATCGCAAGCTCGGCGTTGCTACTTCTTCATAATTCGAGCGCCGTTGTGTCCCCCCAATACTTTGCCCCTATGACAAAAGATATAGTCTCGGCCAATAATAAAGAACGCAACCAATTACGGGCAATATCGATTTCGCCGATATGTCAAATGCAACATCACCACGCAGATTACCGTGAACGCGAACCCGACCGTTACAATGAAACTGCGTGCGCATTT